AACATCTTTGTCATTTGTTATGACAAATTAGGAGAATGGAAAAGTCTCTAACTTTGGAAGCATTAGGGACTGTGTAATTGAGAAAGAAAGAATCCTGGCCACATTTTCCACCTTTTGTTATCAATGTGCTTATTTCCACTCAGTGTTTTTGTTTTGTTTTGTTTTTGGAGAGGTTTTTGCTATAGGCCGCGTGCGCTCGCCAGACAGAGACAGACAGAGATACAGAAAGCAAGAAATCACCCCCAGGAGGGATGGCCACACTGCAATCCCTTCTCCTCCATTCTCTTCTCAAGATCTTGGGCCCGCACACACCACGCCCAGCGTGAGTTTAAGCCACCGGGTCTGGGACTTGAACCACAATCGACTACATGGGAGTCCAGTGACATAGCCATTATGCCAACTGCTGGTCCCTCCACTCAGTGTGTTTAATATGGGTTGGTTTTCCTCCCCCTTCCACTAAACACTGGGCTTGTTACATCTTCCTAGAGAACACAGAAGAATAAAACTGAATGTCCTATTCGCTGTAAGTTTCTACAGCCAGTTATTTGGGGATAACAGGGCTATCATTAATGGGGACCTTAAAAAATAATCATTTTCTCATATTAAATGGGAAGGGAAAGGAACTCATACAAAGAAGTACACTGGTATGTGGCTTGATTGTAACTTTCTTTGCAAATATTAATAGATTGGAGATCTAGCCTAAGGAACATTCTTTTCAGACTCTTCTTCAAAGATACACCAATGGCTCACAGCTGAGCATTAGCTCCTCACCAAAGCCCGAAAGACTTTTAATGAGATTTTTACACTTGGATAATGATATCTTTTGTCTTTGTGTGTGTGTGTGTATTGACCTAAAGATGCCTGTTCTTCTCTTTATTTCTTTTTTAACAAGAATTACTAGTTTGTCAGTAAGCCATACTAGCATATCTGCAGGACCTTCTTTTTGGAAAAGCCTATGAGCTGGAGAGCTAAACTGTAATCAAGAACACAGGGACCCCGGGCGCGTGTGCGTGCGTGCCCAAGATCCCGAGAGGAGAATGGAAGAGAAGGGATTGAGGCGTGGCCATCCTCCCTGGGGGGTGATTTCTCGCTTTCTGTCTCTCTTTCTCTCTCTGTCTGTCTGGCGAGCGCACGTGCCATATAGTGAAAAACCTTTAAAAAAAAAGAATTTAGAAGTTTTAATTTTATATTTTGTCACAAATTGTTTATTGAGTTGTCACATGACAATCACATTCTTATCAAAAGATGTCCAAAATAAAGATAAAGAACAAAACATATTTGTTCCCTTTTTAAAAGCTTCATTGGGTCTAAAATGTATCCAAAAATTGCACATATTTAAGGTACAAATTTGGATAAACTTGGAGAAATGCATACCTTTATAATACAACTACCACTATTAAGAATCTAAACCTGGACTCGTACCGTGGTCGACTACATGGGAGTCCAGTGACATAGCCATTAGCTAACTGCTGGTCCCACGTTTTGTCTCTTAAGAATGTCTCCAACATGGGACCAGCAGGTGGTGCGGTGGTTAAGTGCTGAACTCCCATATGGCCAATGGCAGGTCAAGTCTAGACCTGGCTGCTTGTATATAATTTTTTTGACAGGGAGAAGTTTTTGCTATAGGGTATACACACACACACACACACACACACACACACACACATATGCGTATATATATATATAATTTTTTTGGCAGGGAGAGGTTTTTGCTATAGGGTGCATGTACTTGCCAGAAATGCAGAGAGACAAAGCAAGAAATCACCCCCCCCCAAGCGGGGGATGGCCATCTTGGGCATGCACACATGCGTGCCTGGCGTGAGTTTAAGCCACCGGGTCCGGGACTCGAGCCGTGGTCAACTACATGGGAGTACAGCGACATAGCCACTATGCCAACTGCTGGTCCCAAAAGTAAATAATTCGTAAAGGACGTTTCCAACTTTAAAACTCTGCTTTTTTTCTGATATTAATCAAATACATTATCTTCAAGAGCAGAACATAAACATTTTCCCTTCCCCTTTCACCTGATTTCCTCATCCTTTGTAAAATTTATTCTGAAAAGTTGGGACCAGCAGATGGTGTAATGGTTATGTTGCTGGACTTCCACGTAGTTGACTGTAGTTCGAGTCCAGTGGTGGCTTAAAGCTCCCATCAGACACACATACATGCGTGTCCAAAATCCTGAGAGGAGAGTGGAGGAGAAGAGATTGTGGCATGGCCATCTCCCTGGGGGGTGATTTTTCACTTTCTTTCTCTCCATATCTGGCAAGTGTACATGCCCTATAGCAAAAATCTCTCCAAAAAAAAAATTAATCGATGGACATAGTGAAAAATTGAAATACTACAAAAATCAGTCCAAAATGAAGCTCCTTTCTCCCTTTATTTTCCTTCCCAAGAAGCAGCTACTCCTGACAACTTATTGTCTCTCTCTGCAAAGTTATTCTAGTCATCCTTTTTTGAACACAAATATTTGCAGTTGTTTTTTTCTACTTGGAATAGCTTGGGGATGGAAAAAAATGCTACATCTTACCCCTTTTTGTGTACATTTGCCATTAAATCACTCCCAGTTTTTTCTGGAAAATTCATTATTACCTGTATAATAACGAGGTATAGAAGATAATTTCATTTTAGTGACTGCCAAGGTTTTTTTAGATATCCCGTCTGCCTCCACATTAAAAAAAAGGAATTCACAGAATTCCTAATGCAACTATATTTACTATAATTCTCTACCTACCAAGTCAACTGCACAAGATATAGGATAGTCCTAGCACCCTCCTGGAATAGGTAAACCTGAGGTAGGCCAGGTGCTGGCTCAGTCTCCGCATTGAGTCTGTTTCTGTGCTAATCTGTCCCTCGAACTCACAGCCTCTGCTGGATATTCTAGTCTGTTTCCCACAGGTTCCATCCGCTGGACTTCCAGTGTCCCTCAAGATTCTGAATTGGGGGACCAGCAGTTAGCGTAATGTCTATGTCACTGGACTCCCACATAGTCGACCGCGGTTCGCGTCCCGGACCTGGTGGCTTGAGACTCACGCCAGGCGCGTTTGCGTGCGTGCCCAAGATCCCGAGAGGAGAACGGAGGAGAAGGGATTGCGGCGTGGGGGGTGATTTTTCACTTTCTGTCTCTCTGTCTCTCTCTGTCTGTCTGGCGAGCGCACATACCCTATAGCAAAAACCTCTCAAAAAAGAAAAAAAAAAAAGATTCTGAATTGGGAGGACTCTCCCTGTCCATGGGCATGATGGTCAGGGCCTGTCCACAATACAGTTCCGGCATTTTTGTATCCCACCTAGTGATTTCTTTCTTTATTCTCTTTACACGGTAATCTGCTCTTATCCGTGATTTCACTTTCCTTGGTTTTAATTAGCTGCTGGGAACTGTAGTCTAAGACATTAGATCAAAAATTCCAGAAATAAACAGTTCCTACCTTTTAAGTTGTAAACCACTCTGAGCAGAGTGATGAAATCTTGTACAGTTCCATTCCACCCTGGGCAGAATGAGTCATCCCTTTGTCCAGCATACCCAGGATGTATTTGCTGCAGTAGCCGTTTTCAGTCATCAGATAAAATATAAAGCCTGAGTACAGCATATATAGGGTTTGATACCATCCTAGGTTTCTGGCATCCACTTGAGGTCTACCCTGCAGATGAGGGACACTATTGTATTGTTAAAGGAATGTCAGCCGCTGTACACTCCCAGTATTAGCTAGTGGTCACTAGGTTTATAAAAGTGGCAGGAAGTGCCACAGTTGGGGACAATACTTCTATTGTACCCACTTCGCAGAAACATTCTGCACAAATCCGTTTTTTTGAGAAGTAAAATTTAACTTTTATTAATTTAAGAATGTTGCCAGGATCAGTAGTTGGCATAATGATTATGTTGCTGGACTCCCACATATTCAAAAGTGGTTCAAAACTTGGACCTGGTGGCTTGAAACTCACACTGGGTGTGTGTGTGTGTGCATGCCCAAAATCCCAAGAAGAGGATGAGGGAGAAGGGAGTACCGTGTGGCCACTCCCCCAGGGGTGATTTATCCCTTTCTGTGTCTCAGTTTTTCCAGCAAGTGCATGCACCCTATAGCAAAAATCTCTCTTAGAAACAAAAACAAAAACAAAAAACAACAAGAATGTTGCCAACAGATCAAATGTTAAATAGAGATAAAAATACATACTTACTTAGTATATCATTTTAAAAAATCATTGGCCAAATTATGCTCGATGTTGAGTTATTTCTAAAAAGTTTCCTTTCAGTGGTATAATTCTTTGAAACAAAACATCAAATGTGCTAGTGTGGAAAGAGCACAAACATTAATAATAGATTAATGAAGTTGTTTTATAGTACGGTTTAAATGTGCTCAGACCTTAAATATCTGTAATAAACACCTATAGTATCAGGAACAATTCTGGATGTTACTTTCATGAGGTTATTAGAAAGGGAGTGATCCTAGTTACCTCTGTGATCAGTCACTTTTTAGTTCCACAAAGTATTGTTACCAACAGCAGGAGCTGATAGTAAAGTCCTCGAATGAAGAAGAAGCTGGTTTCTAGCCAGGAATCAGCTTGTGTTGATCTGTGGAGCTTTGGTGATTACTGTGTATTTTTAAATCTTACTGTTCTCCCCCTACCCAGTCCCAAACATTTTCCTTCCTTGTTTCATTCTAGATATCCCTGCCACCACATTGCCCGGTCTCCTCACAGCCTGCTTTTATTCAACTAACATTTGTTACTGCATTTATATTTTCTGGTGACCTTAAAGTTGCTGAAACTCCTGTGTTTAGTAAGCAAGTAGTTTTTCTTAGCATGGTATTTATTAACTGAGCTAGTTCTCATGTATCAGTAGATACTGCATTTTAAACCTCAATATTTCTATGTGGTTTGATTTCATAATGAAGCCATAAAAATTCCCTCCTGTTCTCTGGCTTATAGACGGTATTAACAAAGAGCTAAAAAGATGCTGGCTTTACTTAGCATCCAAGCTAATGTTGTTCATATTGTCTTATTAGAACACCTGGAGAGTGCAAGTTCTAACTCAGGTATACCAGCTGCACAGAGAGGTGAGTTTGTCTAATTAAGCGAATAGTCACCAAAGGTGTAAAATTCTAGTTTGATGGTGCATACAATTACAGACATCTAAGAAATGCACTGGACAGTGGAATGGACACTAAAATAAGGCTTTGTTGCAGTTAGAATGCATTTTTAAATTAAACTAATATTTTTTTTAGCATTTTAATAGTTTCCTAGTTTCTAAAAATAAATTTTAACTCTTTAATGTGTTTTCTGTTTTTTAATTTTTTTTTATTTTTGCATCGCAGTAGTGCAACTTACTGTTTTTAAAATTAGAACTTGTTAGACTCATACCTGCTTTCCACCTCATATTATTAGGGGATTTGTTGCCAAAAATCAGACACAAAAACAGAATATTTACAGAAATGAACCTTTGACTTTCCTGTTACTGTTGTTAGAAAAATATAATGAAAGATGAGTCAACTTATCTTAATTTTTCTTTCATATAATCTCAACATTTAATTCTTGTTTTATTTTTGAATTTAGGGTAAAAATAGGGAAGGGAATTACAAAATGTGGAGTGTAAATTCAAGTCCTAAAATAGAAATGACTAAATTATTGTAAATAGAAAAGAATGGGAAATAGAGCACAGTGTGTGGTCCTCTCATGGCTATTCATGTTAGCCACCACTTAGTCTCACCCTAAGAGACCTCACAACTGTGACATCACCAGAAATGCTCAGCCAGCTCATTGAGAACTTGGTTTTGGACAAATCAGTGGCTACAGCTTGACTCTTTACTATCTCTCTTATCTGACTTGAAAAGGACCATTCTTTTTCTAAGTTACAGTTAAATTACATCATCAGAAGGAGTGTTATGACGAGTATGAGACGTCATCCATATTTTTTCTTTGTTTTTTCTTTTGTTTTCTGTCTGTGTTTTCAGCAACGTCAGTTGATTACAGTTCCTTTGCAGACAGATGCAGCAGCTGGATAGAGCTCATTAAACTGAAAGCTCAGACCATAAGGCGCGGATCAATTAAGACAAGTAGGCGGATGTTTCTACCCCATTATGATGATCTGAGAAGCATATCCCTGATTTCCCAGTGGTGAAGGCTAGGCCTTACTGCCCAGTAATAACATTGCCAACCAATCATGTATTGGAGTGTGAAAGCTGCAGACTCTAATGATGACTTAGGAAAAGTTGGTGCAGGGCCTTTAGATTTGTGAATTTTTGTGTTTTAAAATTTTACTTTTTGTGATCATATTCTTTAAAGTACTTAAGTAGATATTAGATCCTTTTAGATGGAAGGAAATGACCAGTTCTCTTATTGAAAATATACTCTACCAGGACCTAAGGTACTATTTAGTGTATGGCACCTGTCAGTTACTAAGCATGGGATCCAGAGGGCTAAATGAATGAAGTGTTTCTGGAAAGAAAGTACTTAACTTACAGCTGGACTCAGGACCACTACTTAATATGTTCTTTACCTACACCCCATGTGTTTTGGTAGATACCGAGATAAAATATATTTGAATGAAAGAATTTACAGTATATTAAAAGAGAAGGAAATGTGTTTTAGAAGACAGAACACAGAATTTGGAGTCAACCAGATCTAGTATTGAAGCCATTTTACTAGCTCTGTGACCTTGGGCAAGTTATTTAACTTCTCTGAACCTCAGTTTCCTCATGGGGATGATAATAACCTATGTTGCTGGGTTGTTGTAAGGATTATATGTCTGGCTTGTAGCAGTTATTTGATAAGTGACCACTATTATCTTTTTGTTCATAAGCAGTCAACTTTTAGACGGCCAAGGTCATTTGTTAAGTATTTTAAATAATGACTTTATTCAACCAATAAGGTTTGGAAAAGGAATCAATTGCATTTAGTTAACATAAGGTTTATCTACAAGTTGACAATGATGAAGTTGTCTGAAAAAGATGGAAAAAACTGTACTGGGAAATATAACAACTTTCACACTCTCTTGTAATAATTTGTTTCTACAGCAGATAATTTTAATGCTCTGTGCTTTTTCTTTTTCTTCACTTCATAACCAATCATTGTGTGTGTAGCTACACTGCATCAACATTTTCTTTTGCAGGAATG